TGAAATATGAAGAATGGAGATACCGTTGCGGCGACGGACAGCATCACGTGACAAGACCAAAATACACGCAAGAGAGAGAGAGGGAGAGAGAGAGGCACACACACACAGAGAGACAACATAAACGATAGGGGGGCGACAGATGGCCAGCGAATGGGGGTGAGGTACAGACACAAACAGAGAGGCGAGAGAAAGAGCGACAAACAACATGAACCAAAGGGGTGCGAAAGATGGCCAGGGAATGGGGGTGAGCTGTAGAGAGAGAGAGAAGGAGAGAGAGACATCATGGAGGGGGGAAGTACGCGCAGCGCGAAGCACGGGCTTTTCTTTTCTTTTTAAGAAGGTATGCATAATCTCACAGAAAGACTACCCGTTCGAAAGAACGGGATTCTTGTCGCGGCTACAGTATAATACCACCTCGTCTCTCGCTTCACTCGTGCTCTCGCTGCTGCAGGTCTACGTTCTTTTACGCAAAACAAAACCTACCCTAGCCTATACTTGCTCGTTCAAGAGTCCGGCAAGCCACAGGCGAAGAGCGAACAAGACGTTGAGTTACAGATTTAAAGATTGCTGCAAATGCCCTGGTGATGTCAGGCACGACAAGCGGTAACTACTGCTTTTCGTGAACGAGGACGAACAAGCTCAGTCCCGCCGACTACAAAGCACATCATTTCACCTCGCTCATGAGCACTTGCTCCACTGCGCCGCGGAGGTTCGCCTGCAGGACACCCTCATCGTGTCTGAAAGACAAAATACAAGACACACACAAAAGAGGGGGGTTGGGGGGTTACCCAATCAGAATGAGACCACTAAATAGTGATTCCTGGGGGGACGTCTTGGAACGAATCCCACCAAGTGACGCCTCCAACGGTTTTCCGCATGGTGGAAGCATGCACCCATCGGTCCCACCCGTGTGCCCCCTCAACCAACGTTTTTTTGCCCGCTCGCTGACTCTGCTGTCGCTCGGTAGCGTGCGAAACGACTTCGAAGCAGAAGAACACCATTCGGATCGTCACATACACCAACCGCTACTCATGCGACTTACACAGATGAAACGCAAAGTGTGTCGAAACGACTTCGAGCAGCAGCAGGGCCATCGTCACATACATACCTACACCAAACGCTGCGCGTGCAAGCCCACCAAAATAACACCAACTATCCACTAAACCGTGCCCTGTGCCGCCGCAGCGTGGTCTCTTCACAAACAAGACCTCACCTCGAAGGCTCGTCAGCGCCCTCATGGTGGCGGTGGTGGGCCTTGTCAAGCTTGGAGTTGACGAACTCCTTGTCCGGGCGCTTCGACAGCTTCACCCGGTGCACCGCCGCGGAGGCGTTATGGCAGGTCGATGCCAGGAGGAGCGACCCCAAGACCGTCAGCACGGAAGACGCGCGAGCCATGTTCTCTTCTCTATTACGGTATTACGGTATAAAAGTATTCCTCGGAGGAAGTATGGAACCCTGTGCTATGTGCTGGGAGGTCTTCTCTTCTTGCAAGGAGAGGCTGGCTGGCTGGCTGGCTGGCTGGTGAGAGGTTGTACCTGTGGGATGTACTACTACTGTACTACTGGTGGCTGTGAGGGGAAGGGGAAGAAGAGACCGGGAGGGAGCGAGGCAAGGTTAGAGTAGGGCTAAATATCAGCCTGCGGCTTAGGGTGGTGAAAGTAGTGACAACAGGGTGCATACAACTGCATCGCCCCGAACCTATTGACGGCAGTGGAGGTCTCGCTTCGCAAGAGAGAGATTGAGAGAGCGAGAGGCCGTACGGCAAACACTTCGTCGGGTCGCTTCACCTCTGTGGATGCGTTACGCAGAAGGAAGGCGCCAGGGTGTGTGTTGAGAAGTTTTCACAGAACAAACAGCAGCGTAGCGGAGATGCAGAGACTATGGCATCTGCTAGATGCTATACATATAGCAGCACAGACAGACTTCTTGGGGTCTGGTAACCACAAATACCCCAACCCGTTGGCAACCCATGGCAACACACACACGACACGGTCAACAAAACACGCTCGCGTGATACCAGGACGCTCAAACCATCAATTCTCCTCACACGCCTTTGGCCAGTCAAGAGTGCATGGGCGCAGGCACACCGCGTGCAGCTGTTGTAGCTAACGGTAGCTCAAGAGATGATGAGTACAAGTGCGTCCTGTACGATTCAGAACTCAAGCACGAACAGCGTCACTTCTGAAATTCCATTGTACACCTAGGCTTACACGGACTCAACAGAAGCCCCGTATCCAGCAGGTGTTCTCCCTCCCTTACTGCGAAGGCTACGACTTCAACACATCCCGGTACACCATTACAACAGCATTATCTCGAACGGTATTTAGTCTTTCAGGGATTGTATGCATACGTGTACAGCACCCGTGGCTCCTATATATGAGGGTCCACATGTCCACATGGGTTGTCGCGGACTCGCGACCCCCCTATAGATATAGGTGGGTACCTTCTTATTCCGGTATAATAAGATAATGAGAGGGGGCTTCAACATACTACAATACTGAATGTAACAGGTTCGAAGCTCTCTGTCACACCACCTTCTCTATCGGAGCCACGACGATGCTTGTACAAGTTTTCTGTCTTGTTCAACGGGTCAGGTTACGGGTCAAGGTGGATCGGCATAATAGGTAGATGGGTGGCAGCTTTAGGAGCAAAACTGCTGTGCGACAGGTGCGACCTCCGCCTTGCAAGAGACATCGAGTCCTAGAGGTAAATCACAGAAACGAAAGATGCAACCGGTATACATACAGCAGTGGGGGTAACACGCCCTGCTTAGCGTCATGCCCACAAAATCAGGTGGCACCGCCGCACCCCGGTAGCATGCTACAACATAGTCGCTAGTTCAGTTTAGCGGCCTGCCCTGCATAGCGGCCACATTTCGTCGTGACACGAAGGGTCGCCGAACCCGCCCGCCCCCCAACTGCTTACTTGTTGTGCACGCGGTCTCGAGTCTGGAAAGTGGGCGGGATTTTCGAGATTGTTGGAGAAAGCAACTCAAAGGGCGGATTCTGAGTTTTCGACAGGCATGCACATAAGAAAACTGGTACAGAGCTCGTATCACGAAAGTGGTCTGTATCCACCTAAACATTAACATTGGGGATCGGCCATATATATATGCTGCTGTGTACCAGGCACCTCTCTCTTGGTCTCAGGGCAGGGAAAGAGATGATGCTTGCAGCAGTAAGTACTGCGCACACATCTCATTATTACAATGCATACCACAGCAGGTCATACCGTGCATCGATCGATTTCTTGGAAGGCCTCCAAAACTCTTGATCTCTTGCTACACACACGCGAGGCGGATACTCGCCCTCAAAAGTCGGGCGCGCTACGCACAAGGCGAGCTGTGCGGCACACACGCAGTTTGTGCGAGTTGTGCGAGAGAGAGAGGGCTCGCTGCACATCGAGGCTGAAACTGGTCACAAGACCCCGAACTTCAACACCCGAAAAAATACTCGGACAAAACGACAATAATGATGACAAACACCAAATGACACCATCATATGGCGGCTGCTGTCGCATGGAAAATAAATAACCAGTGAGATGCGCACTTGGAATCTCTCGCATCTCTCATCACAGGCCTTTCCTCCGAGCGTCTCACCTAGTGGTTGGATGTAGAGGATGCTGCTGTGATACTGCTGCTGCTGTGGTGAAGCTGTTTTCGTGATCAGGTTGCAGCATGTGTGTGGCAAGCGCGTGCGGGGGCACATCAGATAGGATTAAGGGGATACCCTAAAAAGAGTAAAAAAAAAATCCCGTTTTCACAAATCGTGTGACACATCATCTGAGTCTCACACAGCAGCAGTCAGAGTCTGCACCAACTGGTCTGCAATATAGTGGACGCTCACCACCAAAGTTTGCGCTTGTCTGCTGTGCCCGGAACGACCGTCATCCAGAGGTGAGGAGGGTCGAGGGATGGATCGGTAGCGCCGCCGGTGGTGTGATGGGAGTAGTAGCAAGCAGTGTCTTATGAGAGCAAATGAAGCAATTTTTTCAACATGTGACCTGGGTCCACGCATTACGTACTACGACGTACTTCGTTTTTCCCTCGAAAGTTGATACAAGTAGGTCTGCTCGATCGAGCATGCCTCTGCTTTTTTGCTGTGCATCGTCACCCAGGCACACGTGTGTTACAGGGGGGGTACAAGAGCAGCAAGTCTGAATCTTACGTGGGTTTGAACACGTGTGCTGCTGTGCATCCCAAGAAGAGGCTTGAAAATCGTTTGGGTGCCAATCCACGTCTCTCGGTGTTTTGTATCAGATCAAAATAGCCCATATACGCTGCACTGCTGCTTCGGTAGTCAACTGCAACTACATGTACAGCAGGACAGCAGGGCATTCGGCCGTCACCAGCAGAAACCAGTCGGCTGTGGCCGGGCTGTGCCCTCAGCATCGCCTGCATGTGTGCCCCATACGCCCCTCCCTTGCCCGAGATCCGGGCATATGCTGTACATGTACTGTAGCCGACGTCATACACGTTTCCAGTTTCCAGTACCATTTCCAGCACCATTTTTCTTTTCAGCACCGTCGTCCAGCTTAGCCCAGCAAGTAAATTGGCACATGGTCAGCTTGACGTGGTACATGTTCGTGAGTATACACGGACTCAATTGAATTGCACCATTCGCGAACGACGTACAAGGTATCGGTGATGGGTTAGGATGCGTGCGGCAAAGCTCTCGATTGCTGCAATTCGTCAACATGGCACAAATGCTGACCGTTCCAATGTATAAATTTAGCATCGTATCCGGAGATACGTATGATGAAGAGCTCAAAAAACTCTTCCTAAAAATATCGGGAGTCATGCACATTGGAGTACAGTACTTCAATGACGCTGCCCCCTTTATTATTTTTTTCCCCGTGTGGAGCAATCGGCCGAAGTTATCAAAATGGGCCCAAGGGGCGTCTGGTAAACATACACTAACAACCTTTGAGGCATGACGGGGTCCTCCCCCTGCTCGTAGGGGTTCAGCGACGTTTACGTGCGAGTGCCGTCGGATAGATCAATGATGCATAACAGACTACTTCTGTGCTATTACACAACGTTGTCGGCCGATCCGAAGGTAAATCCCTGTACTTCGCCTGTAGAAAGATTCAGAATTTTAAGAAAAGAATCACTGCTGTGAATTTTGTAGCGGCTGATCAGTCCTGCACATTTTTTTGTTGTCGCGGCGTGGGTCCTATGTCTTACGTGAAGGGGGGCGGATTTCGCTTTAGCAGGTACAGCAAAGTACATCTAGGGGAAGCAAACTCGGGCAATACCTTTTCAGCGTCACGGGGAATGGATGCACTCTAGACTATTCCACAGACAGTTTAGGTTCCACGAGACATCCCCATAAGCGACTAAGATAGGACCAATTCTAAAGCTCGATTTCGGTTGCACCACGGCAGAAACAGTAGTGGCGCAGCCGAAAACAGCGGCAACACGACAGCAACAGCAGTGGCGCTGCCGAAAACAGCGCTGCCGGAACCATGTCGTCGAGAGCTGTCCGAAACCACAACTATTGGTTGTGGCATCCGTTTCGTTGTCGAGTTCAAAAGTCAACCTTTTTAGAAATCGATCTAGGGGGTGTGATATCTCATGTCTTGTCAACTACGCTACATATACATATTCGAATGCAAGACCTCCGTTGTTCTCTCGTCGCTACTGCTGTACATCCGGAAGCACTCTGTTGACCCCCCCTCCTATACCGCAATATGCAAGAAAAGTAAGCAGAAGATGCCGAACACCCTTCGCAGGATGCAGCGCACCCTCCGTGCGACTCTCCGAATACCTCACGGCGCTTCGCGCTTGGTGATGTAAGAGAGCCTGTCCGGTGAGATCCCGGCCTAACCCCCCCCCCCCCCCCCCCGTATTCCGGTACACGTGTGCTACCGGTACACGCCCTAGAGTGGTCTAATATACATGTATTGGTCTTACGGCGGAAGGGGCCGCCTGGACCTCTGTTCGGTATGCACCGACAAGCAACACACCCGTCCACCAACCGCTCCTTACCTAGAACCTTTCCCGTCCGCTTCCCACCATCCTGTGGGATGCACAGGAGCCAAATGATGCCTCCTGTTCCTGCCCCTCCTCCCGCTTCGGGAGGACTCCAGCCGGAAGCGAACTTCGACGACGGGTGCGCTCCCAATCCAAGCCTCCTCGAGACCACCCCCACCCACCCCCCGGACAACGGGACGGCCATCGAGGTTGAAGGGCCAGCGCCGGCGGCGACTGCCTGGCGCTCCAAGGAGTCCAGCGGCGGCAAGGGCGGGGGCGGGGGCGGCGGGGGCAGAGGCAGCAGCGCGTGGGGGGTGTACTGCGACGGCCCTCTGCTGGAGGCGGTGCAATCGGCCAGGCTTTTTCCCGACAGCAAGACTTTCGTCGACATGCCCATGAAGAAGGTACGCAGACATTTTTTCAGGGTATTTGATACGTTCGGAGGAAGCGGAGGATTTGGATCACGGCGAGGGTCCAGCTGGGGGGATTGGTGTTGCTTTATTATTGGTGGATAGAAATCGACAAGATGGTTAACAAGCCGACCAATTTTTTCTGAGACGGGACGGGAAGAGGAACGTCTGTCCGTCCATTGAAGCAGGGTTGTGCCATACTAAAAAGGTATGGTTCAGGGACAAGCGACGAGTGACATGGGGGATTGAAAGTGGCCAGACTGCAAAAGCGGGCTGACGAGTTCGGACTGGGCTTAGAATGAGGAATAATAAAGGATGTACACAAGGGCAAGAGCGAATAGAGACCGTTTTTAGAGAGATAGGTTCATGTTCATGTTTTCGTTCCCCTCATTGTGGTTGCTGGATCGTGTGCTAGCGATTGGGGTGGTGCTTTCTCTGAAGACTGATAATAGTCCCCCCAGCGACCCCTGTTGCAGATTTTTTTCGCAGTCGGCTTTTGCCTGCTGTGGATGTGCGTGTCCAAGTGCTTGTGCATGTGTGCTTGTGGAAACGCTCCTTTTAACGCGTTTGATGGATGTGCATGTGGACGTGCTCTTGTGGACGTGTTCCACTTTTCGCTCGCTCTTCACCGTAATTTCCCAGCCCAAACTACATTTAACTACGCTATCCTATCCTACTGCTCTCTTGTCTCCCTTTTTGTCCACGTTCCGGACGCCCCCGATCCACCACTTACTCTCCCGCCTCTCCCCTACCTTGCAATGGCATTCGCTATTGGTTCTTTTGCGATCTCCGTTTCGATCTTGCATCTTGCAGGACCCGACCCAAGTGCTGGCAGCGTTCAACGCCCTAGGTGTGGTCGACAGAAAAGACCCCGGGAAGGTAGGGTACCCTCTTCTTTGCCGTGCCCCCATTTGCGGTGCCCCCCCCCCCCCCCTGTAAAAAACTCACCCTTCAAGCGAATCCCCAAAAACCTCACGGCGCTTCCCGCTTGGTGATGTGAAAACCTGGTCCGGTGAAAACCCGGCGTGCTCCCTCCCGGCTTTTTAAGGAAGCCAAGTCAAAGGTCAAACAAATACCGCATGCACAAAAAAAAATACACCCCCCCCCCCAAACCCCCCAAAAAAAGGGGGAGGATAAAAAAAAAAAAAATGCCAATGGTCCTTTGGAAAAAAAGGTTCCTCCCCCCCGGGAACATTTATAAAAGGTCAACAAATAAAAGCAAAACAAAAAAAAAAAAAGGCCCCCAAAAAAAAATCTGGTTAAATGGGAAAAAAACCCAAACAA